GAACCGGAACACAATACAATGCTGAATAAAGTCGTAGTTTTTGTTATTTTTGGAGCAAAATGTATTTTCGATGCTTCAACACACTCTAACTAACCCACTGATGTCACATGGACTACTTTGATGATGTCTTTATTCCCTTTCTGGACAAGGACAGTATACCGTACACACATTTACAATGGAGGGACAGAAAGCTCTCGGACTAAATCTAAAATATCTTAAACTGTGTCCTGAAGATGAACGGAGGTCTGACGGGAGAGGAAGAATGTTTTTGAAATGTTTGACGACGAGCAGTTTATCAAATGGTATCATTTGGACAGAGCAGGAATCATCTTTGTCAGCGCTGATTAATGTCGGGCTGAACTTGCCTTTTATAACATATTTCCGCCGTTCGACTAATTTTTATAACATGTTTCTGCTGTTCGACTAATTTTTATAACATGTTTCGACTAATTTTTTTTAACATGTTTCTGCTGTTCGACTAATTTTTATAACATGTTTCCGCTGTTTGACTAATTTTTATAACATGTTTCCACTGTTCGACTAATTTTTATAACATGTTTCTGCCGTTCGACTAAATTCAGCAAGCGGTAGCACTTCTTCCCCCCGTCAGTTTGGTTTTCTTTTGGAATCCATGTTGGCTGACTATATCATAAAATCTAGGCTTATATAGGTCAGTTAACAGCACAATGGTTTAAAATTTGTAATTAAGACATGGTGGAAAATGTGTTTATCTTTCATTTCCAATGTGTATATCAGTATGTATTCTCTTGAAAATTACTTATTGTCAAATGTGTGTTGAATGTAAACTCCTCTTAGGAATTACACCATTCAATGTGAATTTATCTGAGAATATTCTTAAATAAGGAAATCTATTCAGTGATTGGTCCATGCCAATGTCGTCATACAAAATCCCGTTTGTGGCACAGCAGCAAAGTGTCGTGAATCATCTTTAAAACTGACACTTAAGATTTAGTCCTACACTTCACTTAAATTACGACTGAGATGCTTAATAACTAGCTTTTAAGCGCAGCTTTGAGCCAACATTTTTGTTTACTCTTAAGTCCATTCTTAGCAGTGTTCTTGTGAGTAATTCTCAGAGGCTTGATAAATATGGCCCCTGATTATCACGCCTGAAAATTACCCTAATTATGCGTCATTATTCCCAAATTCTCGCTCAAGGAGGTCAGATATTCTCCTGGGGCCAAAATAAATATGGACAGCTGGGTCTCGGGATGCAGGGAGCGGGTGTTTCCACCCCACAAGTCATTCAGTCTTTGCAGGGCGTCCCGTTTGCCCAGATTTCTGCGGGAGGCGCTCACAGCTTCGGGCTCACGATCTCTGGGGCCATTTTTGGCTGGGGGCGAAACAAGTTCGGCCAGCTGGGCCTCAGCGATAATGATGGTAAAACAAACACCTTAGACATTCAGTTGAGCTTTCTCTGGTTTAATGATTTTATAGTGGAGTACGTGGTGTTCCTCAGATCGCAATTTCCCAGCCTTGCTGAAGACTCTCAGGTCCCAACGGGTCGTTTACATATGCTGTGGAGAGGACCACACGGCAGCACTAACAAAGGTGTGGATTGATTTTACAGGATTTTATGCTTATTTTAAGAGCTTAATAAGCTCAAAGTAGTAGTGTGCACACATCCACATCCAGGTGTGCGATCCAATCATTGCCTGACCAAGACCTTCGGGTCGAAACCTAGTCAATAAATTCATCCTTTGAAAGCAGCAGTGTCAGTGTGCTGATTTTTGCAATATTATAATTTATTATGACAAATTAAATGTAGGGATGCACCGAAATGAAAATTCTGGGCCGAAACTGAAAATGCTTTTTAAAAATTATTTATTATTTTAAATTAGCTTATGTTATAATGGTATTAATATTAGACTTTTTTTTATTATTAAATTCAATCATTTTAATGATACTGAATTAAAAAACAATACATATTGAGGGGGGGGGGGGGGGGGGGGTAGATACGTTAATGTTTCAAATACACATTAACAAGCATAGATTAATACAGTATAACAAAGTAAGTTTTAACTGTAGGTACAAAATTCATCGGCCATTTTCGTCTGCCAAAATTTCAGTGCATCCCTAATTAAATCCTGCACATTCAGAAGAAGGAATTGCCATGGTTTAGATTAAATCAAGTTAAATTTATTTGTATTGCACTTTTCATACTACACATTGTTTCAATTCAGATTTACAGAAAATTATGATATTAATGTTTATAATATCTTAGGGTGCTTTCACACTAGCACTTTTGGTGCGCATCTGTTTGTGTGTGTGTGTCACTCACTTTAGTGTTAAAGCACCCTTAATATCTTAATGCCTTATAGTTGCATTTAGCAGAGTAGAACTGGACGATAATATAGTTTACATTTTGCAACGATACAAGCAAAAAAGTCGATAGCATATCGCTTTACATGAGTATGTTTGCAGATAAAGTTGGACATGCTTATCCAACTTTATATAAAAAGCTGGATGATAAGAGTCACATTTTGTGGCAATATTTGCTATATTACTGTATATACAGCTTTATATGATAATTAGTGATCTTTATTTTGTAGGAGGGAGGTGTGTTTACATTTGGAGCTGGTGGGTACGGTCAGCTGGGACACAACACCACAAACCATGAGGTGAACCCCAGGAAGGTGTTTGAACTGATGGGGAATGTGGTTGCACAGATCGCTTGTGGTAGGTAAGTATCAAACAATCCATAAACAATCATTGTTTCATTTTAGCTCAATGTCTGTCTACGTTTTCTATATGAAAGATTGAGTTTTTTATATAAAAGTATGGTAACACTTTGCAATAAGGTTCATTAATTAACATAACATGAACTAATAATGAATACTTCTTCATCATTTATTAATCTTAGTTTATTTTAATTTCAACATTTACTAATACATTATTAAAATCAAAGGTTGTATTTGTTAACATAAGTTAATGCACTGTGAACTAACATGAACAATCAATGAACAGCTGTATTTGTATTAACTAACATTAACAAAGATTAATAAATACGGTAACAAATGTATTGCTCATTGTTAGTTTATGTTAGTTAATAGATTAACTAATGAACCTTATTGTAAAGTGTTACGGGATGTATTTCTAATCATAAAGAACATGAATTGCTTTTGTCTTCACCTGCATGTAAGGCAGCACACTTTGGCGTTCGTCCCTTCATCAGGAAAGATTGAGTCGTTTGGTCTCGGGGGAAACGGACAGCTCGGGACCCGCTCGACCTACAATCGGATCAGTCCCGCTCCTGTGAAAGGCTGCTGGCGAGCCCATACTGATCCCGTGCCTATGGATATAGGTGGGTTGACTTTGTTTACATGAAGTCTTTCAACAGAATTCCTTTCTCAGACAGCCGTCCTTCTCAGTATTTCTCAAATGCATGCAGTTTATTTATGGTAAAGAAGATGTATAAAAAAAAAAGAGTGTGTATGTGAAGTTTTAGCTCAAAACACCCCACGGATATTTTTTTTTAAACATTTTAAAATGGTCACTGTTTTTGCTCACGGCACACACTGAAAATTTCAAAACCGTTTAGCCTTTTATATTCAAACCAGAGTCGGACTAAGATGGAGAGACTCAGGGTGTATTCACACCTGCCTTGTTTGGTTCGATTGAATCGAACTCTAGTTCGTTTCCCCCCTTGGTGCGGACCTTTTGGCCAGGTGTGAATACAGCAATCGAACTCGGGTGCGGACCAAACAACCGAACCGAGACCCAGCTGAAGAGGTGGTCTCGGTACGCTTCCAAACGAACTCTGGTACGGTTCGTTTATGGTGTGAACATGAACCGACCCAATTGCAAGAAAGCACTGCGCTGTGAACATAGCCCCTCTCTATGAATGAAAACTTTATACCTTATCCGTCTTCTGCGCAGTGCCACTGTCAGCATGCCATGGTAGGCACACATGAGAGCATGTTCTCTCCGCCGGAAACGTCTTCCAGCACATCGTCGTCTTCTCAAAATCCGAATTACAACATCGTATAGATGACATTGTATCATATGATACTCATTAGTTTCTTCATATTGCGTTTGTACAGAATAACACAAAATTAGTAAAAGAACAAATATTGCAGTACGAAATATCTCCATGCTGAGCCGTTTTTCCTGATTTCCCTACTTGAGAATCCTTGTCCAATGAATGGACGACCTTAGCACACGTGTGGTTTTGTTTACAAATTTTGGTTCACTTGCAAAAAGAGCAGTGTGAAAGCGAACCGTACCAAAAAAATTATTTGGTCCGGACCAAAGCAAGTGAACTATCGGACTTTCCTGGTGTGAATACACCCTTAAGAAGAAGTGACAACATGTAGACATCATTTCAGAAAAGAATAACGGGACTCTCACTATTTTATTTTAGATTAGTTATAGTCAGGTGAGCAACACGTAGCTGCATTAAGACACCGTTTGTCTCCAGGATATGAACCATCCTGGTGGAAAATGGGAAACATGGTTAAGTTGCATTTTAGTATAGAGAGTATGCATTGACGTCACTTGCCCGTGGGAACACACTCCCCCAGCCGGACTGAGTGGCAGAAGAGCTGCTGTGTGACTGGATTTAATAGAGGAAACTGCGAAAACGCACGATTATCAGTTTAAACTAAAGGTTGGACTCGATATACTGTTCCTTACAACTTACCAAAGATTCAGTGATCCGTGGATATTGACATGCAGCAGGAATCCTGTTTCCTGACATTTATATGAGCCTGATTTCGACGCCGGGGAAATACATAAAGCAAATTTGCATGTGAACGCTTTATATTAATACAATATAGGTCTAAATCCATGTGATCACTTATATCAATGTTATATATATATCAACATATCATCCAGCCCCTAACTTGTATAGTTTTTTGTCAGTGTTTATTTAAAAACGTCCAAATTATGTAGAATATACGATGGTACATTTTTAATTGATGAGTTGTCAATACAATATAACAATACAATATATAGGGTATGATTTTACCCCTAAATTCAGCATATTGACACAAAAAAATCATAACTGCAAATCCAGCTTTCTCTGCCTGGATCCAGTTGTTTCAATGAATTGCTGTGATCCATTTAAAGGAGAACTCCGGGCAATTTTTAAGTTAATCTTGATCGTTAGACCTTTGTGAGTACTGACTATAGGAAAAAAAACGAACCGGATTGGTGCTTGCTACGCGGAGCTGCGACCGCGAATGCCCAGAGCTCCCACCCAGCTAAAACGGCAGCTATGGGGGCATCGACATAAAGAGCGTTTTTAAGCCTCTTAACAGACACAAAATGCAATTAAAATGTCTGTCCAACATGAACAGGGACCCTACATGTGAACAAGATGCGTTTAGCAACTTAGCCATTGTTTCAACTCACCTAAATAGTCTTTTAGACGGCAAGCTGTAGTCTCGCGCTGCAGTCCCGTGCTGTAGCCGGAAAAGGTAAACAATGTCCAGGTGGGAGGAGCGTTGATCATGTGCGACGAGTTATGATCAGAGTTGCTTACAAGTGAAGAAGAAATGGCTCCTCCCACCTGGACATTGTTTACCTTTTCCGGCTACAGCACGGGACTGCAGCGCGAGACTACAGCTTGCCGTCTAAAAGACTATTTAGGTGAGTTGAAACAATGGCTAAGTTGCTAAACGCATCTTGTTCACATGTAGGGTCCCTGTTCATGTTGGACAGACATTTTAATTGCATTTTGTGTCTGTTAAGAGGCTTAAAAACGCTCTTTATGTCGATGCCCCCATAGCTGCCGTTTTAGCTGGGTGAGAGCTCTGGGCATTCGCGGTCGCAGCTCCGCGTAGCAAGCACCAATCCGGTTCGTTTTTTTTTCCTATAGTCAGTACTCACAAAGGTCTAACGATCAAGATTAACTTAAAAATTGCCCGGAGTTCTCCTTTAACTTTTCTGTAGCTTTCGGCATAGTCTGTAAAAACATACCTCAGATTTCTTGTCATACCTCAGATTTATACAGTCAATCTCAAAGCTCTTTCCCGTTTTAGAAGTGTTTTATGTGTTTTTCTCTGCATTCACGCTGGAACCCAATGCTGTCGCTCAGTGTTTCTGCCACTCAGTGTGTGTAACCGCAGTCCGTCCGCCCGACGGTGACGTCACGTGCACACACTCTTTTGAAACGTGACAACGACTTGTTCACTCATCAGTGAACCAATGTGTGTATGCTGTGAATCGATATACTGATTCACAGAGTTGATTGAGACGCGACCCAAGAAAACCATGTGGTGATGTTTCAGATTTGACAGGGCTGTGTATTTCAGAGGCGGAACAGAGTTACTGTGTGAAGAGGATCTACGCTGGAGGAGACCAGAGCTTCGCTCACTATGCTTTATCTCAGGTATGAGCAGAGGTCAAGGGTCTAGCTGACGAGACATATATTAAGATTAGATTGGATTGTGAAAAGTGCTATAAATAAACATGTGGTTACATCATCAGTGATCATTATTACATTTTCCTCATTATTATGGTACCAGAATGAAACAGGAACAGCTGTCTAATTTGTATTCATTTAATGATACTGTATTTATCTGGATGTTTAGATATTTCATGTCACACAAATCCTGTTTTACATGGTCACATGACATGTCAGCGTCCAAAACTGTCAAATCTGTATTTAAAAAATGTGCAGTGTGTGTTAGTTTGCACAGTTGCACATTCGCTGATGTTCCCGCTGTATTCCTGTAGGACGACAGGCCTCCGCTGGATGTGAGGATAACCAGACCTGACGGACAGATCTACACACTCAGCGCTGACATCATCCAGAAATGGCTCAATCACGGTCATGGGAGAATGTCACCAGAAATCACCAAGTATGCTTTTTCAAATCAGAATACTTCATGAAGCTTTCTGCATTGGTCCTGAACTAAAAACTCACGTTTCGGATCATTTACAAGATGATGCCACGGGATCTGATCATTTTTTTGAGCCACGGATCTGATCATTTTTCGGATAAAAAAATATATGAAGAGTTTGGTTCCAAAACGCAATAAATCCATTTAGATTAATTTGAGTAAAAAAGTGTTTTCTTTACCAAGAAAGTGGAAAGATTAAAAACCACTATTTTCTGTTTCAAACTTTCACATAGCATTTGTAGGTCATAATAACGAAACAAAAATTAAAATCCAGGTTTTGATTTTCAAAGATTTATTATAAAACGGATTATTTTTCGCCCCAAAATGCAATTAATCCATTGAATCAATATAAAAGTTTTTTTTTTTTTCATATTGAAACTGTTGAAATACAAAACAACGTAAGTTTATTAGTATATAATTTTTATTAAGAACTGTAAAGAAGATTGAAAACATTTTTCCCTCCTCTCCGAGTGCCTCGATCTGCTTCCTAATCTCCTCACGTAAAATGATTCCATTTGGATGCCTTACGTTTCTCACCCACCGCTAGAAACAACCACAGGGTTCATCAATGCCGTCAAAATTATTCATTTTTTTGTTTGTTTGTTGATTAGAAAGTACAAAATAGATAAGAAGAACTAGGAAGTCCGGGTGTATTTAAGGCGCCTGCCGTTACTGTTTACATTGCGTTGGAATGGTGCGTTGTGATTGGTTGAGCGCATGTATCGCATTCTGCAGAGAAGGAGACTGGCGTTTGTCGCGGTTTGGAAGAAAGGGAGAAAACATGACAGAATAAAACCGGCGGGATATTCGCATTTTACTTAAAATTAAACATTGACTTTTCCAATACCAACCAGATACAATACTGATTTTTGCAGTAACTAAATTTTTTTTTAAATGGCGTTTATCGCGTTTTGGAACCAAACTCTTCATATATATATATAATATATGGGGGGAGGGGTAAATGTAACTTTGCTTTTTAACTTTTTACTGAAAGCTCACTAGAAGTACTGCGATAACCACAGCGGGAAACTACTAGCCTAACTGATAAAGTTCAACAAAATTATTAAAGACAAGTAAACAGTCAGTAATAAAATAGGAAAATTACACAAATTACAAGTTACAAAGTCTAACAGTAGTTTTCAGGTACAGAAATTAATAATTAGGCCTAAATGTAAAATAACACTATTTGTTCACTGTAGGAATTAAATATAGGTTCATGTTTGTTAAAGCTGTATTCTGTTGTGTTATTAACATTAATGCGCACAGACGACATCAGGAATATTAGGCTACTGTCTCTTTAAGACCGACTGCAGGACCGAATAAACTGACCAAACATCCGTTCTTTCACTCATGACAGAACCGAGAGAATTCTTGCCGAGACGGGCATTTAGACATAATTTTGTGTTTATGTGTCCGTTCAAGGGCAAGGAAAACACGAAAGAGGAATCGGTTTGTTGTTTGAGGCTGTCTGAAACGCCTCTCTCTCTCTCTCTCTCTCTCTCTTCTCTCTCTCTCTCTCTCTCTCTCTCTCTCTCTCTCTCCCTCTCTCTCTCTCTCTCTCTCTCTCTCTCTCTCTTCTCTCTCTCTCTCTCTCTCTCTCTCTCTTCATCGCTCTCGTACCTCTCTCTCTCTCTCTTCTCTCTCTCTCGCTCTCGCTCTCTCTTCTCTTCATCCTCTTCTTCCCGCATTTAAAATTGTTTGAATGTGTAAATTGGCAAGACAAAACACGTCCAAATGATAAACTTTCATTCTATGATGGTTAAACTTAGCAGTTAATCCGCGATCACATGCGTGCCGAACCGTGAGGCCTGGTCCGTACGGGTCACACTAATGATGTGTCTTTGGCGTCTCTTGCAGTGAGATTGATCTCGTGTTCTCTTCAGCGAGTTGTCTCAATGGAAGTTTTCTGTCTGGAAGGTAACTAGATGCTATACATTCAAAACACATTGAGTACAGTGTATATAGTTAACGTTTCTCTAATGAGTGTTGTGTTTTGCAGCAGTCCAGATCACTACAGCACTAGCAGTAAGTGCTCAGGTGTGGACATTAACACGGCCCGTCTGCTCTACCACAGGCTCATCCAACCCGATTACCCACAAATCTCACAGATTGTGAGTCACTTGTTTTGAATGAATGAAACCAATGTACACTACCAGTCAAAAGTTTTTAAAAGAAGTCTCTTCTGCTCACCAAGGTTGCATTCATTTGATAAAAAATACAAAAAAAACAGTAATATAGTAATACTATGACAATTTAAAACAGCTGTTTTCTATTTTAATATATTTTCAAATGTAATTTCAAATTTTCAGCACCATTACTCCAGTCTTCAGTGTCACATGATCCTTCAGAAATCACTCTAATATGATGATTTGATGCTCAAACATTCATTATTATTATCAATGTTAAATTCTTTGATTAATAGAAAGTTCAAAAGAACAGATTTATTTGAAATAGAATCTTTTGTAACATTATAAATGTCTTTACTGTAACTTTTGATCAATTTAATTAACGGTAGTGTTTAATGTTACAGAAGCTTTCTATTTCAGATAAATGCTGTTCTTTTGAACTTTCTATAAATCAAAGAATCCTGAATTAAAAATTTAAATAGATGTTTTCAACATTGATAATAATGAAAAATTTATTGAGCATCAAATCATCATATTAGAGTGATTTCTGAAGGATCATGTGACACTGAAGACTGGAGTAATGATGCTGAAAATTCAGCTTTGTTCACAGGAATAAATTATACTTTACTGTATATTCACATAGAAAACAGCTGTTTTAAATTGTAATAATATTTCACAATATTACTGGGGGTTTTTTATTTTTTTTATAAATGCAACATTGGTGAGCAGAAGATACTTCTTTTAAAAACATTAAAATCTAAAACTTTTGACTGGTAGTGTAATTTTCAGAAGCATTATTTTTTGGTGAACTACTCCTTTAAGTGCTCCTCATTCCTGCTGTAACCAATGCATGCGTTATCCTAATCCAGATAGCCGCTAGTTTGGAGAAGCATCTCCTCCCCAGATTGAGCAGTTCTCCTCCAGACATCGAGGCTTTGAGACTCTACCTCACGCTGCCCGAGTGTCCGCTCCTCAACAACCCCAGCAACTACACCACCCTCACCATTCCTTTTGCCAAGGCCATCGTGAGCCTGAAAGACACCCCCATCAAAGTGCTTGGTACGTCCCATCCTCTATAAGAGGAAATCTGTTTGTCGGGCTTCGTCACGGCACTTGTAAAACACTGAACAATATTTTGCTGGTCCAAAATCAGCAGTTAGCAAATATTTCGGTAACACTTTACAATAAGGATAACATTAGTTAACTACACACATTAGTTAACATGAACTAATAATGAACAATACTTCTACAGCATGTATTAATCTTAGTTAATATTAATTTCAACATTCACCAATTCATTATTAAAATCAAATTTGTTAACATTAGTTAATGCACTGTGAACTAACATGCATAAACAATGAACAGCTGTAATTTTTATTAACTAACATTTAAAAAAATTAATACTGTAACAAATTTAATGTTCATTTTTAGTTCATGTTTTTTATACATTAACTAATGTTAACTAAATTGTAAAGTGTTACAGATATTTCTGTATCAAATATATTTTACTGCTCAATTTATATAAAAATAACAGGAAGTGAAATGTTTATATTTGAATGTTTTACCAAAGAATTCTTTTGACTTTTATTTTTTTGACTGGACATAGCTCGTGTTAAATTAAATTAGTGCTAAATTATGGCTTATTTGAATGAACCGTATTTTACCAGACACGTTCTATATAATGTGGTGGCTGTGTACAAATAGACTTATACAGTCTTTCATGAATGGATCCGTAAATTAACTTCTTTAAAAGACTAGACCAAACCAGTCGGACCATTACATTCTAAGCCAGTTTTGTTTTTTGAAGTTATAAGGAATTGAACTTCTTTGCAATTGCATGCATTTACACAATGGACACTTTTACCATATGCGTAGTGCACTATTAGTGTCCAATAGGCAATGGTCAACTTCTGCACATATGTAGGTATTTCTGAGTACATCATGTACACATTCACAGCGTAAGTGCTTCGTCTCACGGCATGCCTGAGGACATGCCATTCAGGAATCATCCTGCCTTCCTGATGCTCAATTTTTTTTTTAATAAAGAATAATTTGTGAATTCAACTTCTAAAAAAATAAAAATGAAGTTAGGGCATAAGAAGAATTTCTTTCCAAGGAGATAATTTTTTCAACTATTTTCTTGTTTGATCATTTAGTAGACAAGAAATGTCTGGAATAATTCACCCCAAAATCAAAAGAAAAAAGAAATGAGATCAACTTTTGCCCAAGGAAAATTATTGTTTAGGATCATTCAGGGTTTTCTTTTTTTTTTTTTTTTTTTTTGCATTGTGACATTGTTTAAATGGCAGTTAAGCACATTTGCTCCCCCAAATACTTATTGTAGTAGCATGCAAAAAAAAAGAATAATTTTCATTACTGTAATACTATATTCATCCGGTCTTATTCAGGGTTCAAATCTGTGTTGAAGATCATGTTCTTGGTAGTTTTTCTGAGAATCTCCCTTTTACATGTACGTTTTTTCCCTACATTTAGAATCAACCATTGTTATTTTAATGTGTTTTTGTATTTTTGTGGGGTTTTTTAAGGAAACTGGTGGTCCAGGTTTGAGCCAGCGGTCTTCCAGAGGCTGGTGGAGCTCTATAAGGAGGTGGTGGTGTATCTACTGCGGATGCAGAAACTGGGAATCCCCCTTTCTGAACAGAGGATCTTCACCTGCTTCTTGCACACCTCCCTCAAACTCCTGGAGATCCTCCACTCGGTGAGCACCACAATTGGTGAACCGTAGGTCTGGGTACCGTTTACATTTTACCCGGTGCATGAAATTCTGTACCGGTACTTTACATCAATAAAAAAAAAGAAACTGTAAGACATTCATAGAAGTGTTATTGACACTTGTCTGCCAATGTCTGTGTATATTCATAAAAACAATTTTAATATTTATTTTTACAAAAATCTTCCTTTCTATGAAATATTTTGTTTTCCACAATTTCAAATTTTCTGGTAATCAAATGAAGACATAAAACATTAATTTAATTTATCTTTATATCATATGAAATTAAACAAACTTTTGTGTCAAACAACATGCTGCACAACTAAGCTTTATACGTTAAAATTAAAACAGGAGAAAAAATAACATTTTGATAATAATTTATTAGCATTATTATTACATTGAGACATATCTAAATTCTACTATACAACAGTAATATATTTGTCAAGTTAAACCAAACTTTTATTTTGATGGGTTTGCCTTTAAAGACCTTTGAGTCTCTGTGTGTTTATGATATGACAATAATAGTTTTTCTTAACACTCATGTGGTGTTCAAAACCCTATAACACCTGTGGTCTTCCGGGGTCAAAATGACTGGCCTATAAAAAATATGGTATAATGAGTGATTTATAAGCTATTTTCACCCAATCTTGGATTCAATCTTTTTGTCAACTGGTTCTCTTTCAATTAGGGCTGGTTTTATATTCCTATTTGCATCTGGTTAATCGTGGGCCTCCTTTATCTAAGAGTAGGCATCTCATTTTATTTGTAAAAAAAAAAAAGCATTATTTTTTAATATTTTTGAATAATTTTGGAAGTATTAAATAAAATATTTTAAAAAGTTGGCAGTGTTGATCACACTAGTCTACTTTAATGTTACATCAGGAAGTTTGTTTTGAAAAACTTTTATTTTGTAAGAAATGGCACATAGTCACACTTGTGGTCTTCCCGGGTCAAAATGACCGGCCTATAAAAAATAGCTTATAAATCACTCATTATACCATATTTTCACCCAATCTTGGATTCAATCTTTTTGTCAACTTGTTCTCTTGGGAAGACCACAAGTGTAACAAGGTAACAAACCCCCCCTAAAAAAGTACGAAAATTTTCACACAAAAAAACATTTGAGAAGTAGTTCTACCCTTTGGGAACAAAGTCACTAAGTTTCAGTCCAATGCGATAACATTAACTAGTATTTTTGGGAAAAAGAAAATCTTCTCCGGGTCAAAACCACATGAGGGTTAAATGAAACTGTAAAATGCTGATGAAGTGACTCATGTTCTCATATAGTGAGAGTGCTGAGTCTGAAAACACATCGAGCGCCACACTGCGCCATTCATTCACATAGAGACACGCAGAACATGCAGGATTCGTCTTTCTCTCGCGCCCAGATTCGTTCTCAGGTACCGAAATTTGGCCCAGATTGATTTAATGTGAATCGGTACTCGGTAGTAACAACGTAATTTGGTCGGTGCCATTAAAAGTACAGAGTTTGCTACCCAACCCTAGTCAACAGACACTGGCTGTGCCCCATTTTGGAAAACATCTGTCTAAGACTCTTAAAAACTAAAGTAGAATTAGTGTGTACCAAATAATTTAAAATAGCATGCCTCTAAATGCTCTGATGCCTGTCTTACTACCCACTCATACTATTGTACTTTACATTAGTTAACATGAAGTTCTTCTTATTCTTGCTGGTGAAATGTACATTAGTTAACAATTGGAACCATATTGTAATTTGCTAATATCATTCTTCTTATGGTGTTGCAGGTTAATGAGCGTGCTGGCCAGATCATCCAGTATGACAAGTTCTATATTCATGAGCTGGATGAGCTCATTGACATCAGGAATGATTATGTCACCTGGTTTCAGCAGCAGATGTTCTCTTTGGTGAGTTTGCATTGTTCAAAGGTAATCAGCATCATTTTACACTCCTGAATTTTAAAGCTACATGTGAAGGCCAAGTATGGTAACCCATACTCCCAAGTTAGCGCACACACATTAGGAGTAGTGAATATACACACACACACACTCACACACACCCAAAGCAGTGCTTTACTCAAAAAGTGTGTAATTCTTGTTCTACTAGCAGCATCGAACAGAATTAGGTTGTGTTTGAAATCTGTCTTTTATTTTGGTTGTTCTGTCTGGTGCTGCTAGATGTGTAAAAATTACACTTTCCTTTAAAGTTCCCCTAAAGTCAATAATTATATTCCTTAACTCATCTTTGATCACAAAATGACATATTTAAAAGTTTTTTCCTGTGAAAAAAATGATTCATGCCCTAAAATAGCTTGAATGTAACTCGTAGGGGTGTAACGATATTTGATCCGAACCGAAAAACCGCGATACACCACCCACGATACGTATCGCGATACTCTCATGGCGAACCGAACACGCCCCGCCCCCTGCTGCCCCGCCCAGCACCGGCTCATTGCACCTCATGTGTTATGTGTACACAACGAATACAGGGCTGTTGCCTAACCACCATTAACCACATATAATCGCAATAAGCTCAGTGTTTTGTTACTTTTGATAATAAGCAAGGTGTAATCTTTCAAATTATGTCTATTTGATCACGAAATGCAAACAATAAATGCCGTTTTGGCGCTCTTAGATGTGGAGTGACAGATATCACTGTATGCATGCGGCAGCGCGGAGCGCGATCATCTCTTCCTCAGTTACAGAATAAACATGAATGGACACCCGAAGGTATGTTGAAAGATACAGTATACTTACTGAAAGGCATCATAACTCGTGTAAACACTTAATCAGTGTTTCAACAGCGGAAATACGTCAATAAAACGCTTAGTTTTTCACATAGCTTTATATTTACCTCAGGCAAGTCATTCAGTGTCCACAGCTTGCTGGTTAACTCTTTCACTAAATAAATGCTATATATTAGCCTATATATTATATTTTACTTAACCTGTTTATGATATCTTGATTATTTAATGTATGTTTAAAATAGTTGTCATGAAAATAACAGCAACTGTGTAAAATATTATATAACAATAACAAATTAGAGTAAAAACATGTTAATGCAAAAATTTCCTTATGTGCAGTTTACATGTTTTCATACAATTTGTTATTTGAGTGTTGATTATTATTATATCATTTAGGCTAAAAGTCTAGGCTCTGTTGTTAAGCTTTAATGTTATAGTAATGAGCAAGTAAGGGCTGTAGTTTACAGCATTAGCAGATCATTTTGTTATCCTTGAGAAACGTTTACTTGTAATTGAATTAATTTAAAGACAAGGACACAATTTGTTCATTAAAGCACTGTTTAATAAAAAATAAAAGCAATTTTAGCTTTCTAAACCCCACCCCACCCACCGAACCGAACCGAACCGAGACCTCAAAACCGTGAGACGAACCGAACCGTCAGGTTTGTGTATCATTACACCCCTAGTAACTCGACACCCTTGCCTCATTTAGTATACACGGTTCTATGAATATGCAAATGAGCCCCGCCTCCACTCACTCACTCAGCTCAGAGATCCACTGGTTGACGATCACACGTTGATCTGATTGGTTACAAGGTCGTTTGTGACGTCAGAAACACCAGCGATTTCAAAACGTGTTTTTGAGACTGTCTTTGGTTCACTGCAGTTTAAGGAGAAAATACTCAGCAATGCTGTCGACTTATGAACTTACACATGGTTTGTCTTAAAACAGATTAAAAACACCACATAGACATATAAACACCATTTAAAAGTTTGATTTTCACCACAGGGGGGATTTAAATCTCAAATCATAGTCACATTCTCCACTGTCTCCCGTCTGTCTCGAACAGGTCATGGACTCTCAGGTCATCTTGTGCAAATACCCGTTTGTTTTTGACGCTCAGGCGAAGACGACGCTCCTCCAGACTGATGCTGTGATCCAGATGCAGGTGAGAGAGCTCTGCCGCATCTGAAGATTTGACATGTTTTACTCTAGTGCGCTCACAGTGCTGTTTGTGATCAGATAGCCGTGGACCAGGCTCAGAGACAGAACCTACACTCGCTGTTCCTCTCTGGTGGAGGAGTGGAGTCAGTAAACCCCTGCCTCATCCTCATCGTACGTCGAGAAAACGTGGTCGGAGACTCCATGGAGGTGCTGAGGAAATCCAAAAACGTTGATTACAAGAAGCCGCTCAAGGTAAACAAGGTTGCCTTAAAGTAACACTAAGTAGTTTTTCAACCTTCATAATATATTTCCAAGACCCTTGTGATGGTACATCGACTTACAATAGGTTAAATGACACGTCTGCCATAGCCGTGGTCTGTATCACTTTTAGTAACTTCAGGTTTCGGGTAGTAACCGGAGCACAAAAAGAACTACAAAATTAGACGGCTTTACGGCATACGTCATATTCTACCTTGTCTGTGGCCACTGGATAAACAGCGAGCGTGCGCGTACGACAGTAAGCTGCAGTGGGCTAAATTATTTACGACAGTGGTAATGGACAATTCCGCTTCCAACCTTTAGGGCGACCGCAGAGGAAAAGTTCCTTGGTGTTGCTTTAACCCTCTGGGGACTAAGCCCTTTTTGGTCCGTTTTCTCTATTTTTACATTTGGGCTTATAAACCATATGTAATGGAGATGGAACACTATGTGTTTGGTATCTATGGATTCAGAAGACCCTAAGCTAACATAAGCATGCATGTAATGTTTATAAAGGAAGTATGAGTGAAAAATGTACAATAAACTAGAGAATTTCAAAAATGGAAATTAGATTTTTGTCATTTATTTCTGAAAATCACACATCACACAACAATAGTGAACATTTTTTGAACAAAAAATATATTTGTCAAAGCCTTTGCTTGACAGACATGTGTAATTGTTAAATAAAATGTGTAAAGAACAATGAAAAATTTAACTTTATTTACAAATTTTTCTTAGGAATGCTTAGAATTTTCTAAGCAATGCTTTCTCCTCGTCACTCTCCAGTAATTGTTCCAGAGCTTGTTCCACCGTAAATCTTTACTGCTTGCCATCATAAAAGTGCTAAAACAATAAATAATGTTGTGTTAATTGTATGTATAAATATATATATTATAATTGTTCTGTCTCTCTCTCATATTTCTCTGATAATCCGCTCCGTAAGCCTCCGTTCGCTCTCTCTCCTTCTCTCCATTCAACGCTGTTTGCGTCATATCCCTAACTATATAGTACCACCCCTTGCAAGGCTACAGAGTCCTCTGATTTGCTAGATACGTCATGGTAACCTTCCTCTGATTGGATAAGAAAAATATTTCGCCATCGGCAATTTTTCCATTGGTTGTTGCTTGCGGAATCTGCCAAACAACATCGATTTCATTGGCCCTTTACATAGTGGTATTGCGCAACAAGGAAGTGTGTATATTTACAAGCCGGGTGAGTTATCACTGTTTTCAGCGGAATCTGAGGAAGACGGTAACCTCTCTATCATTAATAGTTATTATAAGATAGTAGTTATATAAGATATTTACACATTTGTAAAAGTATGCCATTTTGGGCGGTACCGCCCAATCCGTCCCCAGAGGGTTAAAGGGTTAGCTCACCCAAAAATGTAAATTCTGTCAGTAATTACTCTCCCTCATGTTGTTCCAACCCCGTAAGACTTTCGTTCATCTTCGGAACGCAAAACAGCGCAGAGCTTCTGGGTTGTATGTCAGAACGTAGGCTTACTATTGGCCAACGCTGGTCATGTGTGTGATGCTGTCCAATAGTGAGCCTACAATCTGATGTACAACCCAGAAGCGCTGCGCTGTTACACTACGTGAACTCACTCGGAGGCCCACACAGAAGAACATGAATAGTTGAATAAAGTCGTTATTTTTGCGCACAGAAAGTATTCTCGTCACTTGATAAACTTAAGGTTGAGCCACTGTAGTCACTCGGACTATTTTAACGATGTCTTTACTAACTTTTCTGTGCTGGCAAGTTTCAATTAGTGAGACAGCTCTCAGATTTAATCAAAAATATCTTAATTTGTGTTCCGAAGATGAATGAAAGTCTTACGGGGTTGAACAACATGAGGGAGAGTCATTACTGACAGAGTTTTCATTTTTGGGTGAACTAGCCCTTTAATCTCTGTGTCTTCATTGCTGCGGTTTTTAATTGTATTATTCTGCAGGTGATCTTTGTTGGGGAGGAGGCCGTGGACGCTGGCGGCGTGAGAAAAGAGTTCTTCCTGCTCATCATGAAAGAACTCTTAGACCCTAAATATGGCATGTTTAGATACTACGAGGAGTCCAGACTCATCTGGTTCGCTCACAAGGTATAGTAAGAAAGTGTGCGATGTCCTTTGAGAAAAAATCGTCAAAAGTCTATATTCAAAGGCCATAAAAAAGCAGAAGTTCTCAGTGCATACCAAACGAAGTGCACCGCGTAAACACAAAACGTTTTTGATATTACGCACTTGATCTCATTTATAGATCTTTTACTGTACTACTTCTAAAACACGTTCACCTTTGTTCTTCTAATACATGTATATGAAGTAAATCCCACAAAACAAATTGTATTCTTCAATCATCATAAATATATATGGATGGATGGATGGATGGATGGATAGATATTTGGATGGATGGATGGATGGATGGAAGGATAGATATTTGGATGGATGGATGGACATATTGATAGATAGATAGATAGATAGATAGATAGATAGATAGATAGATAGATAGATAGATAGATAGATAGATAGATAGATTGATAGATATTTGGATGGATGGACATATTGATAGATAGATGGATGGATAGATAGATATTTGGATAGATGGATGGATGGATGGATGGATGGATGTTTGGATAGATAGATAGATAGATGGATGGATATTTGGATGGATGGATATTTGGATGGATGGATATTTGGATGGATGGATATTTGGATGTATGGATGGATGGATGGATATTTGGATGGATGGATGGATATTTGGATGGATGGATATTTGGATGGATGGATATTTGGATGGATGAATGGATGGATATTTGGATGGATGGATGGATATTTGGATGGATGGATATTTGGATGGATGGATGGATATTTGGATGGATGAATGGATGGATATTTGGATGGATGGATGGATGGATGGATGGATGGATATTTGGATGGATGGATGGATGGATGGATGGATATTTGGATGGATGGATGGATGGATAGATAGATATTTGGATGGATGGATGGATGGATGGATGGATGGATAGATATTTGGATGGATGGATGGATATTTGGATGGATGGATGGATAGATATTTGGATGGATGGATGGATGGATAGATCTATTTAAAGAAAAAAATAACATATTCGTATAAATATTGACTTTAAAGTACAAAAGGAAACATTAGACCACACACAAAAACATTAGAAGAACCATCATTCAAAAGTTCTCAAGAATATACATAGGAAATATAATAACACTAACAAACAAAAGTTGCTCAAAACCAACTCTTCATTCATCTAACTCACACTACAGTCCCTTCATCAGTAGCTTATCTGATATGATATTAGCGTGTAAGATGAGAATATGTCAGTCTCACTCATGCTTTACTGCAGACATTTGAAGACATCGACTTGTTCCACCTGATTGGTGTCATTTGTGGATTGGCCATCTATAACCTCACTATAGTGGAGCTGAACTTCCCGCTAGCGCTGTACAAGAAACTCCTGAAGAAAGAGCCCACTCTAGAGGACCTGAAGGAACTCATGCCTGATGTAGGAAGGTGTGTTTCAGCCGATTGATGACGCTTCTTTGATTTTGTGCTTCTTTTTAGGTTTGAGAGCTCATATCATGACAAATCAAACTATCTTTGGCTGTTTGAGATGTTTGATGTACTATGACACGCACTGTGGACATAAACCATCATTTGGACACATGCACGATCCACAATAACATCAACGGCACATTTTCTGTTCAGAAACGTGTGTGTTTGAGGAGTTGTTCGGTAAAAATTGATTATGTTTAAGGGTTAGAAAGGGGATGGAACATTACAATAGATAGATCTTTATTGTCATTGTATGCGAAATGACGAAATTCTGTTGGAGCAATCCTCTCCCGATAGCAGCATAGAGTAAAAAAAAAAAAAAAAAAAAATATGAACCTTTGAACCTATATCCCCACATACACATCCATATACATACGCACGCACATACATACATACATACATGTATATACAGAGTAAGAAGATACAAATATATATACGCATATACATATACACACACACATACACTAACACATTCTCAATAAATAGATAAAACAGTGAACAAATGATCAATAATCAATTATAATGAATTATTTAGAGGCCTTAGAAGATAGAGGTTACGTGATAATTTTGATAAATGAATGATATGACCCCTTTTAGGGAATGTAGGGGTGTTTTTAGGGTAGATGTGATGGTTTTCTCTGTCTGGATCTTCAGGAGTCTTCAGCAGCTGCTGGATTATACGGAGGATGATTTGGAAGAAACTTACTGCCTGAATTTCACAGTAAGAACAAGTTAAAGTATTGTTTGCATGTAATGTCATTTTAAACATTTGCTTAATTTAAAAAAAAAATTTTTTATAATAATTACTTATAATTACAGATCACAGAGGAAAATTTTGGTGCCACAGAGGTATTAGAGCTGATACCCAACGGGACAGACGTCAGCGTCAACAAATCCAACAGGTATTATATTTACATTCTCTCATCACGATCATTGTGACTATTGACTATTATTAACTCACCCTGTGACTTAATTTGACACATGAATTCCTGTTTTTGGTTGCACTTTATTTCGATAGTCTACTAACTATAAGTAACTCTGCAACTACATGTAAACTAACTCCCATTAGAGTATTAGCAGACTGTTTGGTTACGGTTAGATTGTAGGGTTTAGATTAGTAGATTAAGTTGACATGTAGTTGCAAAGTTACTTAAAGTCAGCAGACTCTCTGTTGAGGAGCATCACGATGAAGAGTTAGCAGATATACACAGTCTAGTAATACTCTAATGACTCCTAGTCGACATGTAGGCCCTGTTTACAGCTGGTATTAAAATGTGTTTTGGTCGATCGGATCACAAGTGGACGAGGGAGACACACTCTCGTTTACACCTGGTGTTTTAATCCGCCTCTTTTCTCCACTTTTAAACACTTCTGTCCTGATTTCTTCGAGGGAGGGTCTATGGGCGGGTAAATGTATGGGCTTTTTCACATCTTTTGATCTAATGGACAAAATAAGCTTGTGCAATTTACATATGAACACGACCAGAGAAAGCAGGAAAACATACGGAGAGCAGCAGCTCTGGTGACCAGCCGAACACTGCGAGTGTGTGTTAGAAATCAGGAATGGTCAGAGAAGAACATTGAGCTTGGTACGTTTTTCCTCTTCAAACCAATCTTGGGTCTCCAGCCGACAAAATTTAAATCCCGTCTGGCTAGAGCGCTTCCCATAATGTACGCATTAGGTCAGTATTCAGAGAGCAAGCGTCTATTGTGTCTGTTTGAACACATTCGATCACATGAGCGTTTACACTCCGAAAGCAATCCGGTTTCCAACTACCTCTGGAAATGGTTGAAAGTGGAAAAGCTCAAAATGTTTTACACCTGTATATACCGTCGTCCACTTGAGATCCGATCGACCAAAATGCATCTTAAGTGTCACCGTCGGGCCCACAGCCTTTACATATTTAAAACAGTAATATCCTATACTAAACCTAAACTAATCTTGACAAACTATATATCATTTGAAACCTTACAACCTCTAGTTTTCATATTTGGGGATTTTTAATTTTGGTAATTTATCAATTTGCAACAAGAATATTTTCATACTCCTAAGGCGTGTTCAGACCTTGATTTGTCATGTTCATCACTATTTCAAAATCATGAAAGAATGGTAGAAACCTCAGTTTGTTTTCATGCCAAGAGTTCAAAAGAAAAAAAGGTCTGAAAATGTTTTAAATATAAAGAAAAAAATAATAGATTCACTATTGTGATGTGGCAGCGAGCTATAACGCACATGCATGTTCTTTTTATGTTTCTTAGAGGTCAAAATGCATCTTAACACCAGGTGTAAACAGGGCCGTAGTTGCAAAAGTTACTTAGTCAGTGGACTATCAAAATAAAGCGTTACCGTATTAACGATTTGATATATATATATTCTCAACCTTACCAGGCAGGAGTTTGTTAAGGCCTACGTTAATTATATATTCAACACCTCCGTGGCTCCTCAGTTCAGTGCTTTCCACGCTGGATTTCACAAAGTGTGTGGAGGGAAAGTTCTGGAGCTTTTCCAGCCCAGCGAACTGCAGGCCATGGTCATAGGAAACACCAACTACGACTGGAAGGAATTAGAGAAGGTGAAAATTCACTTGCTTGCACTCCTGCTGTTTTTGTGCTTGAACAGACCGTGTGTGTTTGGAAATGTTTTGTGTATGTTCACTTTGTGTGTGTGTGTGTTGATTCTCAGAGCACGGAGTATAAGAACGAGTACTGGGCGGATCACCCCACCATCAAGATGTTCTGGGAAGTATTTCACGAGCTGCCTTTGGAGAAGAAGAAACAGTTCCTGCGTAAGTGATGCATCTTTGAGTTTAGATTCACACAGTCGTCCACACATCATTCATTACAGTATTTTCTGATTATTTCTGGAGTGATAAAGAGAGAGAAATCCAGAATCTTGTTCTGGATATTCTCTAATATGTCCAAAAAAAACAAGCAAACAACAATTTTGATTTTTGCTTTATCCAATGTTCAGATTTCCTTTCTGGAAGTGTACGTATGCATTGCAAATTAGTGCATGAGATAATGCTTCATTTCCATGTTTAAACATAACATTTCAGAAAACTTGTAATACAAAAAAATTAGGGATGTCACGATCCAATGACGCGATCGGAAATCGGGCCCGATCACGTGGTTTCAGACTCGATCGGAATCGGACGTTACCTCCCGATCAGGACTCGGATATATGTAAATTAGGGGTGTAACGGTACATGTATTCGTAATTATTGAACCGTTTCGGTTCGAGGCTTCCGGTTCGGTACGCATACAAACCGAACGATTCCTAGGACCATTTTTCCTGCAGACAAAATCCGCGCTGGCGCGATCACCACAACGTTACGCAACATCAAATGGCAAACGTAATGAAAGCGGAACGAAACTGCGCTTCTCATTATATTGTGCTTAACGGACCATATCAGTTCGGACCAGCAACATCTGTGCAGCGCGAGATCAAGCGACACTGTGCTAGGAGATCCAGTGAAGAAAACATTTGAATCCGCCACTGAAGTAATAACATCGCTGCGAGATCTAGTGAGAAGCATTCACATTTCTCCGTTATTAACCGTAGATCTCTATTAGATCAAACAGCGCTGACGTGGACACCAGGAGAAACATTGTGCCGTGAATGAACATGGATTTAATGTTGCACTTCAAAACTCAAATATTATATAAATATATATTTAAATGTTATTTTTAATGTGATTACCAAAACATTATTTGTTCATCCTTCAAAGATTATTTATAAACCTGAAAGTTTCAAGATGTAGGAAAACTCAAACATATTTAAAAAATAGTTTTTCTTTTAAAAAATAGAAATTTCTCTGGCATTTCTTTCTTTTTGCTGTATCGTATCGAACCGAACCGCAAATTTTGTGAACTGTTACACCCCTAATGTGTATATATATATATATATATATTCTCATTATTTTTTATACACTTTTAAAACATTTTTATTTTTTGTTTACATGCCTGCCGGGTATTTTAAGTTGAGGTGCTATTTGTTTTTATATTAGACTTTTTCTATATTTACTGTTGCACTAAAGTCCAAAAGTGAAGATTTTATGTTATTTATTACTTGATTGTTCAAGCTACCTCACAGAAGTGCTCTGTTTGTTAACAGAGTTGTTGAATGTTAAAATAAGGTGAATTAAATAAAAAATAAGGAACATCCTGGATCTGTTTTTTCTCTCTTCTTTATTATTTTTTTATGTATTATATAAGTATCGGATCGGGACTCGGTATCGGTAGATACTCAAAATCAAATGACTCGGACTCGAGGGCAAAAAAACCTGATCGGGACATCCCTAAAAAAAAATGTCGTAATGTACTATGATTAATCAGCTGGGTAAGTATAGGAAAGTATTTCCCCCTATTCACCTGTAGTGTATCGCCATACGGACAACCCGTTGCAAACGTGCAGTGTTATTTTGTTATACACTCTTGTGTTGTTGTGGTGGAATCAAACCTCAGTTCTCAAGGTTGACAACCGGTCCGTGTAATAAGGCATCGTCCCGTATTTAAGACAACAAAGTCAAAGTAGCGTTCAGTATTAAACCCATATGGAGCAGTTTGTGTAGTCTGCGGGCGTACGCCATATGACCATCTAGTTTTGCACATACCCAACCTAACTTTTTATAATTAAATTATACATAGAAAATTATACATTGTTGACTGCAGACGTGAAATGTTAACTTGTATGAATTGACAAATTGGACTTCACTGAACTTGAGGAGGTTCAACAAACATCACATGTTGATTTTTTTTTAAAAGCTTTACTGGGTAAATTCCCACAGTATATATATCACGTTTATTGACATACTGTATTAGTATCTATAATACTAGATCAACAGTCAAACTTTTACTCAAGAACCCAATTTGAACCATCTCTCGCTTCGTTTAAAGTCTGTTTTTATAGAACGGAGTAAATGTTTTAACAGTTGATTAGTATTGTTTCTCAGATATGGGTACTTTCGTTTGTTTATGATGTTGTGTTATGTACTACTTTGTACTTTTTTTTCACTGGTAGACGAGATATTTTATCTCAATGGAACCTTCCTGGTAAAAAATAAATACAATAAAAATGACACCGTTAAAATATTTTGTGTCCCATTATTTTCCTATGAAGAATCAAAAGATTGTCCCTTATTTTCCTTTGCTGAAGTTGGAAACCCTAGTGATAGAGTTAACTGTCATTAAACTAGTGTAGGATGAAACATACCAGCAGTTTAACTAACTTTACCTAACGCTCGCAGGCGTATTTGTTAGTTTATTTGGGGATATCTGTACATTTTTATATCAATAATTGTCTTGGCTGCCTGTCGTCTGATCTCCCCACTTTTTGTCTTCCTACATATGTTACAATGTGAGTGATATGTAAAAATAAGTGAGGAAAAAAGTATGTACAGGTGAAACTCGAAAATTATGAATATGGTGCAAAAGTTCATTTATTTCAGTAATTCAACTTAAAAGGTGAAACTAATATATTATATAGACTCATTACATGCAAAGTGAGATATTTCAAGCCTTTATTTGTTATAATTTTGATGATTATGAAGAAAACCTTTTCACAATATTATAATTTTGAATTTAGGGTTTTCATAAGCTGTAAGCCATAATCATCAAAATTATAACAAATATCTCACTTTGAGTCTATATAATATATTAGTTTCACCTTTTACGTTGAATTACTGAAATAAATGAACTTTTGCACGAGTTTCGAGTTTCACCACAATATTATAATTTTGAATTTGGGGTTTGCATAAGCTGTAAGCCATAATCATCAAAATTATATAACAAATATCTCACTTTGAGTCTATATAATATATTAGTTTCACCTTTTACATTGAATTACTGAAATAAATGAACTTTTGCACGAGTTTCGAGTTTCACCTGTGTGTATTTTGACGGCGTGTTCCTGTCATTTACTCCAGTGTTCCTGACGGGCAGCGACCGGATCCCCATCATGGGCATGAAGAGCCTGGCGTTAGTGATCCAGCCCACGGGAGGAGGACCGCAGTACTTCCCTGTCGCGCACACATGCTTCAACCTCCTGGATCTGCCCAAGTACACGAGTAAAGACACGCTCCGAGAGAAGCTGCTGCAGGCCATCGAACACGACCAGGGCTTCAACCTGGTGTGACCCGCAGGTACCACACGCTTCAGCAGCACTGCGCCTCCATTGTGTGAACGCTGCTTTTCAAATTAGCATAGAGACGTTTGATTCATCATGCATCAGTTACTGAAATAAAGACTCAAATCTGCAAATACAGCATCCCAGTGGGGCTGAAACACAGTATTTGTATATCAGTCTTTTGTTACTCGCTCAGTTTAGGTGACATTTGTGTGCTGGAAAGCACTTTTCTTTTTTAACCTGTAACACTTTACAATAAGGTTCAATACGTTAACATTAGTATCATAAACAGCTTTTACAGAATTCCTTCATTTATAAGTTCACTGTAGTGATTTATATTTATAAATACACTATTTGTCCGTTCAAAATGCATTAGCTGCTGTTAACATGCATTTACCATTACATTTACTGCTAAAAATGTACTTTTTTAGCGTTAATTATATTAACTAATATTAGCGTATATTACCTTATAGTACAGTGTTACCAGTAACACTACAAAACCTGCTTTTTTATGTTTTGATTTGATTATATAGAATATGATTTTATTCTAAATGACTTCTCACTTGCTAAACCAATCAGATTCAATGGTTCTTGATGTCATGTGACTTTTAAAGAAACGATGATGTCATTCAGATTGACTTGGATGAATATTAATGCGGAATCGTTCTGCACATGATGTTAAGATAAAGTGTGTCCTTAAGGGATCTTGCACCACTTTTGTGACGTATGCCTTAACTAAACCCTAAAACGGATTGTTTTGAGACTTATCTTTTGGTTTCAAAGATTGAGTAAGTACCAAAATCTGATAGCAGGTGCCGGACCGTGTCTGAATGTGTTCATCATCACTGTTATAATGCTCATATGCTGGAGTGGCAATGCAAGGACTCACAGATGTTAAGAAGTTTGCGTGATTTAAAAATATAATAATTCAGAGTAATAATAAATGACCAATAAAAATTAGTGAGTTGGGTTATTGCACTCGTTCATTGTGCTGGAGATTCAAGTTAAAACTCTTAAAACACCCATCACGTGTGTGTGTGTGTGTATGAGCTACTAGTTGCTGTGCCATTGTGTGTGTGTGTTTTGAATAATATGTGTAAGCAATGAAACAAATGCTGACATTTTTCTTTTGTTTGTAAATTGTAAATAAACACAATATTTTCTAGTTTTGATGTTGTAATTTTTTTTTTTCATGTGTTCATCAGCATCTTTTTTCATATTACAATGCAACAGAAACTCAGTATAGTCCTTTATTGTATTAACTTATTTTATTGCTGAGTCCTGTACATGTTTGGCATAGGCACTGCGGTTCAGAAGTGCAGGTGTGTGTGTGTGTGTGTGTGTGTGTGTTAGAGCTTCAGCTCAGTGTGGAAGCTCATGATGGACCAGTTGGTAGTGCGAGCCGCAGGACGGGCAGCGCTGAGGGTTTCCCTCGTGAAGCCAGAACCAAACGATAGCAGTGTTGTCCTCCTCACCTTCACAACACAAGAGAGACGCCTTTATTAGGAAAGTCTTCCTTGGAAATAAATCATTTCTTCTTGTACTTTTGCATAGTTTCATTTATAGCTAATAAGTTCCATCAAATCCTACACCTTAGGAAAGTGCAGTAGCGTGTGTGTGAGAGCGTGCTGTCATGTGCGTTCACTTGTGACTGTGTGTGTGTGTATATATATGTATTTGTGTGTGTGAGAGAGAGCGTGCTTTCGTGTGTGTGTGTGTGTGTGTGTGTGTGTGTGTGTGTGTGTGTGTGTGTGTGTGTGTGTGTGTGTGTGTGTGTGTGTGTGTGTGTGTGTACCGTAAAACTTCAAATAATAGCCGAGTCCCAAATAGACGCCTGTCTCTTTTACACGCCTGGTGTGGCTGCAGGTTTGGGTAAAAAATTTTGATCGATGTAGAATAGAATGACGAGAGAGACAGAGAGAG